CTGGTCTCGATCACAGTGATCCTCTTGCCTCAGCCTCCCGAGTGCTGGGATTACAGGCATGTGCTACCACACCCAGCTATAATGAAATATTGGTGTCCTAAGGCCTTTAAACCACCTTAGAATAATTACAGAAAGTTATAAAGCATTGTTTAGATTTTTTAAAGGTTAGAAGAGATCCCAGTAATTTTGAGCCATCATAATATCTCGTTGTCCCCCAGTTATGCTGACCTGAGTGGACCAGGCCTTTTCTGTGACTGACATGGCAAACAGTTTTTACATTATTTGTTCCTCAGTTACAGACAAGCCCAGAATATGGCCAGGGGATGAATCCGATTAGCAGACTGGCCCAGATCCAGCAGGCCAAAAAGGAGAAGGAACCAGAGTACATTCTCCTCACAGAGCGAGGCCTCCCGCGCCGCAGGGAGTTCGTGATGCAGGTGGGTTGGTGGAGGCTGTGGACAGCCCTTGTCTGACCGTGGCAGTCCCTGACTGCGGTCAGGGACTGGATCTTTTCTGAGGAGGCCAGGTCCATTGGGCCACACTGTGCCATCCAACATTGCTGTCATATGACCACCTTGCTTGCAATAACGTACTCTTACCTGCACAGCACGACCCTGCTCGTGTCAGCAGGTAGGAGTGGGGACATGCTGTGTTAGATGGAGAAGAGCGCTGGGCTGGTGGGGTTATGGGTGAGTCTGTGTCTTCACCACACCTTGAGGTTCATGAATTATTCTTTTCTAAAGGTAAATTTTACAAGTACTGTTTGTTTTTGTTTGGTACCAGTGATTGAACTCAGGACCTTGTACTTGTGAGGCAGGTGCAACGCCACCTAGCTAAATCCTTGGCCCCTATAAGTACTGTTGAAGACCCTGTTCCTACCCTTCCTGGTCCTTGTGTAGGATCTGGTATGTGAGGTGTAATGTGGGGTTTGGAATCTTAGATCAGGGTGACAGGGTGACCCTTCAGATTAGGATGGCATGTTTCTCGTGGTACTTGGTTTATCAGCAGTTATAGGTTACCTTAAGTGTGATCTGAATTTAATTTGGGGGTTAGGGGTAGAACTCAGGGCCTTGTGCATCTTGGCGAGTGCTCTAGCACTGAGCCATACTCTAGGCCCCTTTATATTTTTGTGGGGAGTACCAGAGATTGAGTTCTGGTCTTTTTTGCACTTGCAAGGCAGTTGGCGGAACCACTGAGCTAAATCCCTGGCCTTTTTATTTTTTAACTTTTATTTATTTTTTGGTACTGGGGATGGAACTTGGGACCTTGGCACTTCCAAGGCAGGCAGCGGTTAACTTTTATTTTAAGACAGCATCTTCTGAAGTTGACCAGGCTGGCCATAAATTGTGATTCTCCTCCCTTACCTTAATCTCAGGTAGTTGAGATTACAGGTGTGCACCACCATACCTAACATTCCTTTTTTTAACGAAAGTTTTGTTTTCTAGGGTTTCATTTACCCATAGCCTAGATCTGAAGATATTAAGGGGAAAATTCCAGAAATATTTCATAAATTTAAAATTGTGCACCATTCTGAGTAGGCTGATGAAATCTCGAGCCCTCCTGCTCTGCCTCAGGGAATGTGAAATATCCCTAGTGTCTGGCACATGTGTGCTGTATACCCCCTGCCTGTTAAGCCACTTAGTAGCTAGTGCTCTCTGCATCAGTTTGACTGTTGGTATAGGACATAATACACAGGGCTCCTTTGGGATTCTTGGGATGAACCCTTGCAGACTGCTGTAATTCATTTTTGTGTAGCAGTGTGCAGTACATAGAGAACCATCCCCTAACCTGGTACCTTTCTTTTACTTGTGAGAAGTTAGGAAAAGGAGTGATCCTTCCATTCTTCAAGAAGAAGTTGTAGTTTGCTGAATCGGTACTTTGCCTGAGGTGCAGTGGTTGGTAGAGAGCCGAGTTTAAGTCGGGCTCATACCAGTTCTCTGCAGACCAGGGAAGGGCTTGTGACGGGAGTTTGGCTTAGCATCCAGGTCTGTGGTCAGGACCAGCTTGGAATGGGGTTGTGAGTGTGCTGAACAGATTTAAAACCAGCTTGTAGCCAGGACTGATGGCATATGCCAGCAATCCCAACATTCTGGGAGGCTGAGGCAGGACGATTGAGTACAGCTTGGGCAACTTAGTATGACCCTGTCTCCAAAAAATGGGGGGGTGCTGAGGTGCACCGTACCAAGGTCCTGTATTGAGTCCTGCACCAAGGAGGATGGCCTAGCAGGTAGGGTGTACATGTGTGAGTACACATGCGTGCATACATACGATGTGTGGGTATAAATCTTACCGATACAGGGGACGTGTATAGCATGCAACTTACGTATAGTACTGTTTACGTTAAATACCACACACCTATAACTGCATCGTGGCAGTCACCGACAATAGTGTTTCAGAATCAGACAGCACAGAATGCTTTATTGCTATCCATTTTGGCTCATGTCTTTGATAAAACCATAGTTTACATCTGGGATTTTAGTTCTAGCTTTAATACTAGTTGATGGTTCGTCGGGTAAAGTGAAGTTAAACAGTGAAGACCTGGCTTATTTGTAAACAGTCAATATGGATATTATCCACGCTGAACTGGATCGGAAGTCTTTGAAGACTGGCAGATGTTTGGGTTTTTGTACTAGTTACAGTGGGATGACTGCCTACTTTCCTTGCTTTTAAGCTTAATCTCATAAACCTTTTCTCCACCACTTTGGACAGTAAGTTATCTGTGATAGTATTTGTAGCTCCCTGTGACTCCCATTGTGTCTGATTACAGAGTTGGGAATAGATGTGCTAGGGCCACCAACGTATAAAGTGGTCATCGTACAGGGAGGCTAGATAGGCAGACCCTCAGGAGCAGAGAGAACCTTTAACTGGATTCATTAGGAAGCGATGAACGCAAGTGCTCATCACCTTTGTGAAACAGTGGTACCCAGTGCGTTTTAACGGCCCTGCTGAGTACCTGCCCTCTGAATCGCTGAGTGGGTAGTTACTGACTCAGACTGGCAGGTGTGCTCCAGCGCCCCGCTGTTGAGCCATCTCGCTTCTGCTGTCACTGGGCTCTTGTGGCAGCACACCGATTTCTGTCTGATCTTCCTGAACAGGTTTAAGCACTAGCCTCTGTGGTTTGTTTTTTGGTACCAGGGATGGAACTCGGGTCCTTGCACTTGTGAGGCAGGCGGCGGAACCACTGAGCTAAATCCTGAGCCCTAGCCTGTGTTTTGATTGTTTTATGCAGGTGAAGGTTGGAAACCACACTGCAGAAGGAACGGGCACCAACAAGAAGGTGGCCAAACGCAATGCAGCTGAAAACATGCTGGAGATCCTTGGCTTCAAAATTCCTCAAGCTCAGCCCACCAAACCAGCACTCAAGTCAGAGGAGAAGGTGACTGCTAGGCCTCTCTCTGCCAGCTGATCTTCCCACTTTACCTTGGAGAAGCCTGGCTCTTCAGGGGCAGTCCTTGGGTCAGGGCTTCATCCTCCTGGCCGTAAAGCCACCCTCACTACAGGCCTCCTCCATCGGGATCATTGGAATGTGCCCAGGCGAGGCTCTGGGTTAAGTCCTCCTTGTTTTAAATCTTTGTGGTCTGAGGATGCTTTCCTGGAAGGCGTCTTATCCTCTGCATTTGTAGGATGATGGGTAATTGGGCTTAAAATTCATGAGTGATCCTATCCTGTCATTTGTGCTCTGAAAATGAAATATGCATTATCCTTAATACTTTTTAAAATTATGGAGCACACTAGTTTTTCTGGGGTAATGAGGTAGTGTGTGACGTTAGAGTTAGGCCAGATGTATAGTTTACACTGGGAGTCCTTGGTCTTACATAAGTTGAATACTGGATGAAAATAATGCCACACTGAAAAATGATTGTGCCAAGAATGACAAGCAGGGCTCAGTTAAAGTCTTAGATGTCCTTCCTGACTCTTCGGTTGGGATAAACTTGAAACCAGGACTGATTCCCTCAGGTCTGCCAGTGTATCAGCAGGGAGGAAGACATCAGCCAGGGCCATGTAGTTAATAATTACGAGCCCAGGTAGTTACCAGAGCTGGAGTAGATCCTTACCTCGTTACTCCCCACCCGTGTGTTCCCTTTGGAAATGTCTTCTCGTTTCTGATTGGAAATATTCCTGATGCATTTGGTTGGTTTGTGGCTAAAGCTTCTTTCTCACCTTGGTGGCTCTGCCAATCCAGCATCTTTTGGTTCAGGGCTTCCCTGTCACGTGAGTGCAGAGCCACAGGGCAGGGCACCGTGACAGGTGTCCCGGTGGGTGGGGCGGGCCATTCTGCCGATTGCCTCCATTGAGTTGGTTGCAGTTTGTAGTGTTGTTAGACTGCAGGAATGAAGACCTCTGTGTTTGATTTATGTTCATGCCCTTTTCTTTTTCTTTTTTTTTAAAAGACACCAGCAAAGAAACCAGGGGATGGAAGAAAAGTAACCTTTTTTGAACCTGGTTCTGGGGATGAAAATGGGACTGGTAAGTGTGATCTCAGTGTCGCCGTGATCCTGAGTGACTGTGTGACAGCATGCAGTGTCAGTAACTGTGGCTTCCTGGAGTGGTTGAGGGTGCTGGGGATGGGGGGTGGGGCTGGCCAGTGTGGGGTTCACAGCATTATGGTTTCCGTCCGGGCAGCGAATGTAAGTTTGTGTTTATCTGTGTGTATTCCCCTCAGGTCATAAAGAGGATGAATTTAGGATGCCTTATCTTAGTCATCAGCAGCTGCCTGCTGGAATTCTTCCCATGGTGCCTGAGGTTGCCCAGGCCGTAGGAGTCAGTCAAGGACACCACACCAAAGATTTCTCCAGAGTGGCTCCGAATCCTGCTAAGGCTACGGTAACTGCCATGATAGCCCGAGAGTTGTTGTATGGGGGCACTTCGCCCACAGCTGAGACCATTTTAAAGAATAACATCTCTTCAGGCCACGTACCCCATGGACCTCTCACAAGACCCTCTGAGCAGCTGGACTATCTTTCCACAGTCCAGGGATTCCAGGTAACTGTTGGGTATGAACTGGAAGGCTCCGTGTGGTCATCTCTGTGCTCCTTGCAGAAAATGAGCTTTGTGCCTTAGTTTTAAAATCAAGTTCTTGCTGGAGGTATAGCTCAGTGGTTAGAGTACTTGCCCAGCACATGTTAGGCCTTGGGGTCAATATCTAGTACTACAGAGAGCAAAACAAAGCAGTAAAATCAAGTTCTTTGTCTGGGGGACTGGTGGAGCAAGGGGTGGAAGGCGTCCTTGGGAGGGGAAGAATGTGCCACAAGAATTGTAAGTTGGTGGAGGAGTAGAAGGTCCTTGTTCTTTGGTCATAACATTCAAATCCAAACAGCCCTAAAACAGCCTCTAACTACTACTAGTAACACAGTAGTAGTCATGGGAGAACAGATTTCCTGCACTGATCCTTTGACCTTTTGGAACGGCCATGGTTCCTTCCATCCCAGGGTCCTCAGTAGACTGGTTCTTGGCTGGTTCTCGGAGGCTCAGGGCCGGCCCGAGAGCATGGCAGGGCAGTGGTGGCCACAGTCGGGGAGCAAGCCCCACCCTCGTGCTCCCTAGCCTGGCCTCAGTTCTCTTTCTTCTCTTTAGGTTGAATACAAAGACTTCCCCAAAAACAACAAGAACGAATTTGTATCTCTCATAAACTGCTCCTCTCAGCCACCTCTGATCAGCCACGGTATTGGCAAGGATGTGGAATCCTGCCATGACATGGTATGTCAGTCACCCTCGGCTGGATGGCTGTGTGGAGCCTTCCCTTGCTCAGCTCCTTGCTGGCCTCAGAACGATAGAAAAGGGCTCTGCCACAGACCTTGTGACCACTTGTTGGATAGACATCCTGTTTCTGTGGGCTCAGTTGCTAGATCAGTGGTGCCCTCTCCTGGGAGCTTCAGCTCCTGCTGGCCCTTCCCTTGCTGAGCTGAGCGGGACCCGACTTCATCTCTGCCAGGGCAGGGAGGCGCAGGCCTGCGTTTGGCAGCTGTAGAGAGCCCCTCACTGAGGTATTCTGAGTTAGCAAACCTCAGCTGTGGTGTATTCACTTGATGGAATGTAGGATTCATCAGGTTAGTGTCCCTGAAGATAATAGTAACAAGGAAAATAGCCGTAGGTTCTATGGGAAGCAGGATGGAAAACTTGTACGGTCTGGTTACCATAAGGTTAAAAATACTAAAAAGCAAGCATGTGATAAAATTCACAAGTTTTATTCAAAGAAGTAACTGGATAATTTTTTTTTTTAATTTGTACTTTAAATTCAAACATTTGGTGGGACCAAAATTTTAACAAGTTGCCCATTTGCTGCCAGATGGAAATAACCCTTCCTTCCCTATCTGTGAGTTCTGCTGTAGCCCCAAGCAGTGGCTTGGTTTTACTCTTTTTTTCCATTCCCTCTAGGCTGCGCTGAATATTTTAAAATTGCTGTCAGAGTTGGACCAACAGAGTACAGAGATGCCGAGAGCAGGAAACGGACCGGTGTCTGTGTGAGTGCTCGTGCATGGAAGGCCCCGCTCGGCCTCGTCCACGTCTGCTTCCCTGGTGCTGGCCCCGCGTCACTGTCCGCCGTCCCCAGAAAGGTCCCCAGGTTCCCGAGGCAGCGCTCTGCTTGTCTGTGGTGTAACCTTGAGGAAGTAGCACGTTACATGGCTCACAGCTGACTTCGGGGCAAGTGATGCTGCCCCCGCTGTCTCCATCCTCCCCTGTCCTCGGGAGCCTGTCTGTGCCCCCGGGATCACAGGAGTTTGGTTCCTTGTGCATCTTTCCTGGATATTTATTTCTTCATGCAAATAGAAACCAAATTAACTCATTTTGCCGCCCCCCCATAAGTATCTACACTTTTTACTGAACAAGTATATCCTGGGAAAGCTAACTCCGTTATTAACCGGGGCCTGTACTATTAGACTTCCCAGTATTTGGCAATTTCATTTTTAGTATTAGCTTAAATGTCTTTTCATTTCAAAACCGGCATCATTTTCATTTTTTCTTCTTTAAAGGTGTGGGAGGTGCTGAACCTTGCCTGGACATGAACCATTATAAAATCCAACATATATACTCGAAATACTGAAACTGCTTTGAAAGTTTGGAATTTCTGATACCTCCAGTGGGCTGAGGGACATGGTGGGGAAGAACGTGGGCAGCAGTGGTGAAGACGACGGAGCCACCCAGCCCTGCCGCTGTGCTGGGTTTGCTGGCGGCCACACCGCTGTGTGACCCGGCGACCCCTGCACAGGAGCGGCCACGGTGGGACAGAGGGGGCAGCCCGGCTCCTCCGGGAAACCAGCAGCCCCGGCCCAGGCACCTCGGTGCTTTGGCCCTTTTTTTTCTCCTGTGTGAAAAAAGAAACAAAGTAGACTGGCTCACTCCTACACTTGGGGACAACCCTGGATAGCTCACGGGAAGGCAACCTTCAACCTTCGACCAGCCCCAGAACTGCAAGCACCAGAGAATCAAACACTTCCTACTCAGTGTAACCTAATCTTTCTAGCGTGCTCCGGCCCCGCCGCCTCATTAGTGTCCACACCACAGCCACTGCTTTCTCTTCCTACAGTGACGGTATTCTCAGTTTCATTATTTTCTTTTGATTGATATGACACTATATAAAATTTTCATTTGAGTTTCTCAATTGTATCTAGTTACATAGCACAGTTTAGACGCTTGTCTGAGACTGACTTACCAGTAATCTAACCGGCGAAGATCATAGCCATGTGTAAGTGGTTCTACATTGTTACTCCGTGGGACTCACCCAGGACCACTCCCTTGATGCAGGCTGTGTGCCGCTGCTCCAGCCAGGACAGTCCTGGGCTTCTCAGAAACCTTGGCTAAGACTCCCACAGTTGTATAAATTGGACGATTTAGGAATTTTAAACTTTAGATGATTATTTGGTCCTTTTCTATTTTATTTTTATTTTTGTTAATGCAACAGGACTTCAATGAACTTTGATCCTTGTTTTAAAGATTATTAAAGAATTGTGTCTATACACATGGCTCTTGACGTAGCGCTCACGACACAACACGACACGACACGACAGGATGTGATCTCTGTGTAGTGCACCCAGGCCTGCAGGTTGGTTTTCCTTCAGTGCTTGACACTGTTGATGGCATTTCCGTGGAGGGCCGAGCAGAGCGATGGTCTCTGTGCGGCTGTTGCTTTCGTGTGCGAGGCACGCAGAGGTGCGCACGCAGAGGGCCGCTCTGGTCTAGACAGACGCGCGGTAAGCCGTGCTCCCACTCAGTGTGCACGCCGGAACATTTTCTCCCCATGGAATGTAAGTAAAACTTAGTGTTTGTCACCAATAAATGGTAGTACTAAACTTTATTGTTAATTTATTTTCAAATGCCACTACTGCTAGGTTGGTCTCCTTTTCATCTCACCCCCTTTTTATTTTTACGAAAATTTGTAATGCTTGGTGATTCCATCTGGGCAAAAATCTGACTATCAAAATAACTTTATATCAAACCACTGATCAATAAACAGCTACTAATGAAGTTCTTGGTCCTGATGAGCAGTAACTAAATAAGGAAAGATGTGAGGAATACAGTGCGGTATGGGGACAGGGCCAGCTTCACTCCCAGCTGAGGAGGGTGCGTGGGCACTGGGTGGAGGCAGGTGCCCCTCGGCATGTGTTGTGACCTGGCTGTAGGCATCTGGTTTTTTTGGTTTCCCTTCGCTTTGTTTTTAAATTTTGAAGGAACTGGGTATAAGCTGGGCATGGTGGCACACACCTGTAATCCCAGCACTTGGGAGGCAGAGGAGGGGGATTGCTGTGAGTTTCAGGCCAGTCTAGATACATGGTGAGCTCGAGGCCAGTCTGGCCTACACAGTGGGACCCTGTCTCAAAAAATAAATATTGAATGATTATAAAGGTGCTTGTCTAAAACCAACCTAGAGTCTTTTGACTCACCACAGACAAAGTATGCAAGATGCTAAGGGTAGAAGGGAATTCAACATTTTGAGGATAAAGGCAGGGAAAAGGAAAAAGACATTCATAGCTTTCAAAAATAAAAAGGCTTCTGGCTAGTGACTCCCACTGAGGTGTTCCTGCAGGTGGACAGACCTTTAGCAAAGCTTTGTTGGCTGTGGTGACTTGGGCACGTATGGCAGAGCATGAGTGCTTAGCAGGTAGTAGCACCTGGAAGAAAGCACGATCTTGTGCTCTTTTTCTGTCTTTGTTCAGGCTGGCCTCAAACTCACAGCGATCCTCCTGCCTCAGCTTCCAAAGTGCTGAGATCACAGATGTGTGCCACTGTGCACAGCTGGTATCTTGAGTGTATGACTTTGTAGAAACTCAGTCCAGGTATTCCATGGAATTATGTGGTCCAGGCCAATTTGGCTTCAAACACCTCACATTGGTGTTTTGAACAGTTAAAAAAAAGCATCAGAGTAGAAAAATAAGTTGAAAAAGTATGTTAAGCTTTTCACTGATTATTGTGAAAGATCTGCAAAAAGTAAGTGTGGTTTTATTGATATTGTGTGCTCTTGCTCTCCCCCCAATCCATCCCTTCTGTCGAAATTCAGGCAGCCCCCATCCGGAAACCTTCACTGCCACCCGGTCCACGGGCGCCGGGCAGATGTGCACAGCTGTCTCAGTAGCCTGCCCGTCCCGCTGTTGAGAAGCTCGCAGTGCCCTTAGTTACCTCCTGCCATCTCGGTCAGCCCAGCGGGCCCACAGGTACAGCGCACAGCCTGTCACTGACCCTGGCCTGCGTCTCGCCGACGATGACGGGACTGGGGCAGTACTTCCTCAGCGGGGAAGCCGTCGAGGTGATGCCATGCTGGGCCACAGCCCCCTGGGTGACCAAGTACTTTGTGGAGGTGCTGTCCCCCTACCACCCAAGGCGAGCCTCCGTTTCTGTCATCCCATCTAGGTGGTGGCTGGGTTGTGTTCCACTATAGCTATGTATTTTGATGCTCACACTGTCCCAAATTTGGCCCCCAGAAGACCCTTCAAGCTGGTTCTTGACCTTTTGGCACGTCCTCAGTCATCTTTTTACAGATATTCATTGGAGGACTTCTAACAGAGCTCTCAGTGGTTTCAATGTGTTGTGACCCCCCCCCACTCCTGCAGCATTAGTCTTACGTGAAGCTCTGCACACGTGGAATGGTACACCGTCCTCTCCTTTCCCAGCAGCCATCATTTCATTTTGATTTAGGGCTGAGGGGTGATTCCAGGGATCGAACTCGGGACCTTGTGCTTGTGAGGCAGGCGGCGGCACCGCTGAGCAAAATCCCTGGCTCTTGCTTTGTCTGATTTTAATGACTATAAAGTGCGGTCACGGAGTCTTCCTTTACTGGCCTGTTTCACTTAGAACAGTGTCCTCATGGTGTTTCTGAGTTGTACCAATGTCAGTCCCGCCTTTTCACTGGTCCCTTGTGTATAGGGCACCATTCTGCCTCTTTACCTTGTTGGTGGACGTAAATGCAACTGTGAACTTGGGTGTTTAGATACCTCTTTGAGACTCTGCTTTCCATTTTCTTGAGCATACACTAGAAGGGAAATTGCTGTATTGTATGGCAATGCTAATTTGAGCTGCCGTGCTGTTCACACAGCACCTGTGCCACTGTGTTCCTGCCACCAGTACAAAGGTTCATTTTCCCACATCCTCGCCAGTAATAGTCATCCCTAGCAGATATTGTTATGGTTTTTATTTGCATTTCTCTAAAGATTAGTGGTGCAGGCTTGTAATCCCAGAAGTCAGGAGGCTGAGGCAGGATTGTCTAAAGTTTGAAGCCAGTCTAATTTACATAGCAAGTTCAAGGCCAGCCTGAACTATGAACTCAGAGCCTCAAAACAAGGTTTTTATGTGCTCCTTTTCTGAAGAAGTGTCTATTTCTTGTTCCTTTTTGAACAGGGTTATTGGCTGTTGAGTTTTATGGGTCCTTTTTCAAATACATGATCTGTATGGCTGGGTATGGTGTGGACACCTGTAATCCCAGCATTGGGGAGTTTGAGGCCAGTATGAACTACATACACAGTGAGACCCTGCCTTAACATGACTTGTGAATTTTTTCTCATTTTACTTGCCTTGTAGTTTTTATAGTGTTTTGATTCATGCTCAAATTTTTGGTGAAGTTTAATGAAGCTGTTTTGCTATTTGTCATATCCAAAAAAATCACTGTCAAGTCCCATTTCATGAAACTTTTGCAGTTTTAGGTCTTAGATTCATTTGATTTTTGTACATGTTAGGTGAGGGTCCAGTTGTGTTACATTACATGAGTGTAGTTTTCTTGGCACCTTTTTGCACAACCATGGCCAGAAATCATTTTACCAAACTAGGCCTGTGGTATAGGTTTGCAATCCCAGCACTCTGGGTGGTTCAGGCAGTTTTGTATGTTTGAGCCCAGCCTGGGCAATTTAGTGACACAGAATTTAAAAAACAAACCCAGCTAGGGATGTAGCTCAGTGCACTGGGTTGTGTCCCCTTCCAATCATTTGACATCATATATATGTATAGATACTATACACACACACACACACACCCTTTTTTTTTGGTACTGGGGATCAAGTGCAGGCATCAGAACTCCTCAGCTAAATCCCTGGCCCATATATGTATATATTTACTTGAGGCTCTTTCTGGGCTCTCCAGTCTATTTCTTTGCTCTGTGTGCTGGTTTTCATGCCAGTACCAAGAAGGCTGTTTTGATACCTAGCTGTTTAATAAGTTTTTGTTTTTGAGATAGGGTCTCGCTGTGTAATTCAGGCCAGCCTCAAACTCGTGGTGATCTTCCTGCCTCAGCCTGAGTTCCAGCATTACAGACATGCGCCTAACACTCAACAATAGCAAGTTATAGAATCAGGCTGGAGAGTCTTCCAGCTTTGTATTTCAAGGTTTTATTTTGTTACTCAGGTTCCTTTCACATTCCATATGAAGTTTAGGATGGGTTTTCCTGTTGTTACAAAAAAAAAAAATCACTTGCCCCCATCAATTTTTTTAGCACTGATCTTACACACAAGAGAGCTCGGGGTCATCTTGCTCTCTTCCTGTCCTCAGGCCTGGGTTTAGCTGTTTTTCCAAGGAGCTCTTATCCCTTGCAGTGGCAGATTTAGAAACTAAGGTCTGAGATTTCTGAGCTCTCACTGCTCCTGCGGTATTAGTGTCGGACCCCTGCAGACTGCCAGGACATGGGCCTGCGCTTGCCAGGCAGGCAGGGCACCACTGAGCTCCATCCCCGGCCCCCTCTGTACTCACAGCTCCAGCACCCTGGGTTCTTTACGCCTTCCCCCTAATGGGTCAACAGTGTGCTCTTCTCAACTTTCATCCTACACATTTTTGTTCTCAAATGTTTTAATGCTAGGTCTAGACATAGAGGTGGCTTTTTTTTTTTGGTACTGGGGATTGAACTCGGGTCCTTGTGCCAGGTGGCACCACTGAGCTACAAACCAGTCCTTAGTCATAGAATTTTACCTATACATTTACACCCAAGCAGCGTGTGGTTATCTTTAAAAAGGCCTCTGAAGCCAGGGCAGTGCGGACTACAGCTTGAGGAAATGGATGTCATCTTGGGGCCAGGTCCTTCAGGCTGACGATTGGTGAACTCCCAGCACTGGGGCCTCAGCCGATCCCAGGTATTAGGGCTGCCCTGGGCTCAACCGTCCCAAGAGGCTGCTGCTGCTGCTTGTGGCACAGGTGCCAAGAGGAAGCAGTAACGGACCACCAGGGAGCCGGAGGCTGGAGATGCAGTGGCTTCAGTCAGTGTAAACATAAGCTGAGAATTGAGGGGTTAAATGAGAAAAAACTTTTTTGGAATTTTGAAATCCACAAAATATGGATTTCCCAAGCCTGTAAGCATTGATGGATTAGTAGGGAAGATGCCAGTTCACTCTGATAGGCTTCTAAAGAAATACGTTCTTTCAGGAAATGCCTACTCGAAGATAGATAGAGGTGGGAGCTTGGTTAAATGGAATTCCGTGCTCCTGTGTACTTGTATATAGAGAATGTAAATCTTCGCAATACCACATTCTCTTTGTAATTACTCATTTTCGTTACGTGCTATTAACTGACTTGTATTTTGAAAATTCTTTCACATTCCTTAGAAGCTGCCTGACACACCCAGGGCTGCAGAGATAACAGCAAAGCAGTCGCTGTAGCAGCAGCTGTGGCATTGGCATCTGCACTGCTGACCTCCACAGCATGGAGGCCTGAGGTGTGCTTCCTTCACGTGCAGGTGCTGACGTCCCCACTCCTTAGACTGCAGCAGCAGCAGGGCCAGCAGGCCTTGGACGTCACGGAGCTCGCGTGGACAGACCGGCAGGGCCTGGGTCCTGTGGATGCTGCCTGGGCACTGAGGGTCTGTCGGAACCTCTGCTTCCTACCCGGATGGACAGATTGATTTCTTTACTCTTGTGCCAGAGGACACTTAGGGTTGGTGGCTGAGGCCTTTCTTTGCGTTTGCTCCCTTGGCAGGCAGGTGTCCGCTGTATGCCCACCTGGCAGATGGATGATGTGTGAACACGCGTCTGAAAATGTTCTGGGTCCTCCTAACAAGTTACTTTCCTGGCCTTTTGCACTTCTGGACAAGAACACGGTAAACATGGTTGAAGGCTGCACTGGCCCCTGCTGTAGGCGTCTCAGCCCTTGCATGTTCGGCCTGGGGAAAGGGACGGGCAGAGGAACACTCACCCCACAGTGGGAGCGATGCCCTTTCCAGGTCATGCCCAGTGACCCCTCTTAATGGAAGTTGGCCGTCAGCCCCCACGCTCCAGTCACCAGCTCACACACGAGACTCGGGGCCATTTTAGATAAGGTCCCGTGGCGTCTGGGGGGGCAGATGTGCCTCACTGGCTCGGGGCACCGCTGGTTGAGCCCACACTAGTGTCCTTTGGCTTTCTAAGCACTCTGCTGGGACAGTGGAGAAGGGTGTCAGGTGCTCAGATGGCTGGAGATCCGGAAGGCACGGGGCGTGCAGTGCGCTTTGTTCTCGACGCCTGCTCCCTAGCTGATTGGGCAGGACACCATTTGAGAGCCATCTGTCTGGAGCCCATGGACAAGTCTCAAAGGACACAGGTGGCTTTCCTGTGCCCACATGGGACCAAGGGGGTGCCGGACATCCCTAGGACACCGAGGAATTGCACGACCCCTGCCGGAACCCCCCGAGAGGGTCGGGAACTCTCGGCTGCCATTTGCTGTAGAAGCCCAGGATCCTGGAAGAGCCATCACTTCCCCCTCCAGGCCCTAAAGGGGGTTCCTTAAACTGCTTGCAAGATGGGCCTTTCCTCTTTTCCAGTGATGGTGAAAAACCTCTTCTCCATTTTGCTTCCACTCACCCTTCCCATCCAGTCACAGGAAACTTTCCCCATGCTGTGGCACGGTCTTCACACAGATGCTTTCATCCTGCCAGAATTTTCTCACATCATCCAGTGTGTAAGGGACAAAACCGAGAACCGGGTAAGGATGTTCAGAGAGCGAGGGCTGCTTTCCCTAGGCGCATGGTGAACTTGTGCAGTGGCCCTTCCCTCTGCCGTGTGCAGCACCCTGAGAGGATGAGGGCAGTGCTGGCCCACAGCTTGGGGGCCGTGTTTCTTCTCGAAGGTTCATTCTTCACTCCAGAGGGTCTTACCTTCCGGTCAGAGAACCAAGCCTCCACCTTTCTCAAGGAACAAGGGGACAGGAACTGCGTTTCAGAGCACATGCTGGGCTTTCGTAAAGTGGGACAGATGCTCACACCCATCAGGCTGGTTACAGGACGGTGCCTGGGAATGGGCAGGGGCTCCTGGAGACGGGAGGGGGACATCCAGGTCACCAGAGCACACTCAGGACCATTCCCTTATAACTTTCTAAAACCTGTGCCAAGCCATGCCACAGTGGTTAAGGCAGGCTGCCTGGGCTTCCGTCCAGCTCCATCCAGCTGTGTGACCTGTGAGTTCCTGCACCTTAGAAAATAGGACATGGACCTGTTAAAGCCACAAAACCACAAAGCAGGCTAAGCGACAAAAAGCAAAGAATGAAGACAGCAAAAACTGGATGGTACTCTTGGTTCTAAGGCCAAGCACGTGGACAGTGAGACCTCCGTTGTCAATTCATTACAAATCGCGTTCAAACACTGAAACGTCTGAGAACGGAACCTATTTTTCACATAAGGGAAAACCAAATGATAGATTCTGAGGCCACAAAATGACTTACAAATTCGTTTTTCCATGATTTTAACAAACTTCACAATGGTTTAGTTCTATTGGTCTGGGAATTTAGCTCAGTGGTACGGTACCTGCCTTGTAAGCACAAGGTCCTGAGTTTGATTCCTGGTACTGAAAAAATCTTTAATTGTATCATGGCTCTCACAGTTTTCCTCTTCGTTTCACTGCTAGTATCACTAACTTTCTTTTAGCCGTGGTTACCACAATGGACTCACTCTTGGCCCGTACAAAGACTCTTTGAATTTTCAAGTCAGATGTTCATTTAGACTATTGAGCAAAGTTAAAAACAATTAACAGTTTTTATGAACTTCGTTGTTCCAGTAGTGGTAAGTTCAAATTTGGAGCCATGCAACAAGGAGGTATTTGTCTGCCAGCCATAAGCACTCCTTAAAGCAGGGAGTGGTGGCGCGTGCCTGTAATCCCAGCACTCAGGAGGCTGAGGCAGGAGGATCGCTATGAGCTCAAGACCAGCCTGAGCTAAAGTTCCAGGTCAGTCTCAACCACATAGTGAGACCCTGTCTTAAAAAAACCAAAAGCAAAACAAAATGAAAATTAACTGAATGCTAATAAATTAATTGAGCCAAAGGAAAGAAAGGAAACACACCAGTCTTTCATAGAAGCCACGTTAGCACAACTGCTTGGCATTTACCAAGACGAAGTGTATTTCATTCTGAACCGAGGAGGTAAAACACTCAGAACTTGATGAATGAGCCCTGCCTTGCAATTGCAAGGTCCCAAGTTCGATCTATGGTACCAAAAAAAAAAAGTCATTCCATCATCCTTAGTGACCACTGAAGCCAAAATAGCAATGTAAAATTTGCTGTTTCCATTACCTTGTGAAGGCCAACAAACATAGTGAGTTCCAGGTCAGTCTCAACTACATGGTGAGATCCTGAATCAACAAAACGAAACAAAAAACCAATAGCAACAAAACCTAAAAGATGTTAGAGACACGCTGAACTTGAAATTAATCAAGCAATACTATAAAAATATGGAGGTTCCAGTTTATCAACAATTCCAGCATAAGTAAGTGTGTTTCCCAACATTCGGACATTCTGATTCTTCACTCCTTGAAAACAAATGCTGTAACTTCCTTCCCCGGTACTAAAAGGCAGGGATGTAGCTCAGTGGCACTCTGCCTGCCTTGCAAGCACAAGGTTCTGAGTTTGATCCCCAGTACCAAAAAAACTAGTAGTCCAGCAGGCAGCCAGGTGACTACACATTTCCTGCGGCTCCCAGACCTCAAACTTCCATGATAGCATCAGCCTGGAAAGTCCCAGGTGACATCTGATCTGCAGAGAAGGGGGCTGCTGGGGAAAAGCTCATCCATCCCTGCTCAGGCGTGCTCAGCAGAAGCCAGCAGTGTTTTTCTCTTGGGGAAACCACCGGCCCCAATTCGTACATATGCTAATGCCTCCTTCCCCTTGTGGGGAAAAAAAGACAAATTAACCTTAAATAATTTTAAAATTAGGATTTTATGGAGTCCTGAGGGGGTAGGGGGAAAAACTCAAAATTCTCTTTTATAAAAGTGTCAGCACCAGAAACCTGTCTTTAAGATGTTCTCAGATACATACTTTAGGGCTTTATTGCTAATTACAGACTTAAAACCGTGAAGTGTACATTGCTTGACAAGTTACACAAATGATTTCTTTTTGACCTTTTCAAGAAAAGCTTAAACAAATACAAAGGACAAGAAAATACGAATGGCCAAGAGTCTTAAAAGGATTTAGTAACAGAAAAGCCTCTACAGTGTCTGTCAGAAATTTAAAATGATAAACCGTGCAAACGCTCAAATCAAGGTTGTACACAACTGTTAGTATTTGTCCCTCAAAGTGGCAAACAAGTCATCCACTTAATTTATGATCACACAAACCATCGGGTCTGCTCAAAGTTCAGCTAAAGCAACAACATTGCCTATTATCTTCTGTAAGATGAAAACTGGGACAAGTTCAAAAGGAAAACTTGCTTTGTTTGAATGCAGCTGTGCTCACAAATCTACTTAATTCTTCCGCACAGTGGGCTTAGCCAGTCGGGAACGCAGATCAGAGCAGTGTCACACTGGCCGCCTGAAGGTAACCCTGCAGGTACTGCAGCGCCTCCGCATTGAGGCTGGTGCTCACCATCGATGGAACCTACAAAAGATGGAAACCGCTGCTGGCTGCTGCTGCGGAGGCTCAGGGGGAGCAGCCAGGCTCCATCCCTGTCCAAGGGAGCCGTCGCCCTGGGACGGAGAGGCCTAGCCCAGCGTTGTGGCGGTGCCTGCAGTGTCGCCTCTCTGGCAGGTCAAGGTGGGAAGACTGCGCATTTGAGGCTCGCCCGGACAGCGTGGTGACTTATCAAGGTCCCGTCTCAAAAGAAATGGATAGGGGCCGAGGATTTAGCTCAGGGCACTGCCACCACCTGCCTTGCAAACTCAAGATCCTGAGTTTGATCCCCAGTGTCCAAAAAACCCCCAAACAAAAACGGACTCGAGTAGATCCGGTGAGGAATTATTAGTGACACCACATTGGGATTAGGTATTAAAAATACCCTTACTGAAGATGCATAATGAAGTACTTCTGGGTGAACCGATACTAATGTCTAAGACTCACTCTAACTCTACCAAGAAAAGATTGGAAAAATGCTTGTAATTATTGAAATGGTACACAAAGGTATGTCCTATGCATGTCCGAAGTTCTCCATAATGAAAGGATGAAAATATAAACTTTCAGATAGCAACACTGTAAAAAGATGATGGCTAAATACAAGTACACAGCCATTAAATGCCACATTAATAACAGGATTATTTGAAACCGAGAAATACATTTCTATTCAAAGGACTTTTCTTCCTTTACCTTTACTTCTAAAAGTATTTACTTAAAGTATATTTGTGGAACATAACACTAGGGAAAGAAGACTTGTTTATACTAAAAATATGCAGGCTGAGGATTTAGCTCAGTGGTTCTGCCACCTGCCTTGCAAGCACAAGGAACCAAGATTGATCCCTGGTACCAAAAAAATTAAAAAATAAAAATAAAACTATGCTTTCCCTAAACTCAATGGAGCATGGTATGATCACGCCAACCGATGAAAACTAACACCACTTCCCTCCTCCTAGCAAAGTCTCCACCAGCACACAGCTCTGCGACCAGACACACTCACCCTTCCTGGACAGGCAGTACACAACTTGTGAAGTGACTGTGCCAGGTGAATTTTGGGGTTGTTCACCATCTGACCTACAGGGTCGTGCTCTTTCTTGCCAGCAAAGGCCAGCTGTGAGAATGCTGTCTGGTACCCTGGAGTGTCTTCTATGTCAACAAAATGCTCTTCATCCGGAATGGTGTCATCTTCAGGTAACTCAAACAGGCCAATCAGAGACTGTAATAAAGGAGTCCTAGGGCGGGAGAAAGCAAGAGGAAAAAACCTCAAGAAAATAAAACCAGCAATTCCTCAGAAACAGACATACAGACCCAGTCTGCAGAGCAGACAGATGTCTGAAGGGAAGACAGCCTACAGCACCCCAGTTTATCAGGAATGACACCAGCTCAAGCCCAACCGAGGTCTACTAATGCTAAGAGCTGTTGGAGATCAGCTTGCAGAGCTGCCAGGTCGCTGTGGAACCAAAAGGAGGAAAGGAGCGGCAAGTGGTCCCGACAAGAAGACCCTCCAGACACAAGTACAGAGGATCCCCCAGAAGAGCGGAAACAAACCGACGCAGAAGGCCACCTCTGGCCTAGGCCGCTCTCTCCCTTCACACTGCTTTTTGCGGCGTGGCTAGGTTTATGTCTCAGTCAAGACTGTCACAAAGCAGTCTCAAAACATCATCTAGACGAGACTCAGAGAGGCCCAGGAATCTACCTCCCTGCCGACCTGTAAGAAGAATGCTGTCGTTTTAGGCCTGGGAAGATCCAGTCACTTGCTGGATATGATGATTACTAGCAGAGAAGGTGAGATCAGAGCTCAGTTCTTTTGGCTCCTAGGAGAATAAGCTTAATTTTGCAGTGAGACAGGAAGAAAGCTATAACCTCCCAAGAATTTCAGTAAGGAGTACTTACCACAGCTTGGTGTATTCGGTGTCCATCATCGGTGGACATTCTGTTAGTAATTTTGTTATGCCAACTGCACAGATCTTTTTCTCTACATTTCCAGATACTTTCTGAATTTCAGGAATAATGATTTTTTCCAAAACCATTCCAAACATTCTGTTCATCAAAGTAAAATAAATATACTTAATATTAAATTAGACACCCACTGTAATTAAAACAGGGAAATGCTTAGATATTTTTTGCTCAGTGATTCCTTATTTTAAAAATTACCAGGGCTGGGGGATTTGGTTCAGTGGTTCCGCCGCCTCAGAATTCGATCCCCGGTACCAAAAAAACAAAACAAAAAACCCAACAAATAGGGCTGCTGCTGTTCTTGGTCAGCTGAAGACACCCAGAGGTGACAAAACAAACTTAAAAACAAAACCAACCTCCACTGTGTACCCAACTAGGCAGTCATCTTTTGTGAATAAACATCCTTATCTTATTTCAACTTTTTGTCTTAATATGCTTTTAAAAAATTGCTCAGATCTCCGAAAATTTAGAAAGGATTAAGGGAAAACAAAAAACCCATTCACCATCCAGCAGTAACTAATTTTAAATATTTCTGGATTACAAATTTCCCAATTTTCTTTGCTTATACAATTGTGTTAAATTTAAAACACGAGCAGGCCAATCGTGTTACTGCACACATTCTAGACGTAAAGTTTTTCACAGTCTTAAATGATGCAGAATCTTTATACTTTACGCCGTAACAATGCTCTGAGGTGGAAAAAGTGCATCAAAGATGTGGCGATTTTATTGCTGATTAAAGAGAGCATAGGTTGTGCTCTCTAGAAAGATGGAGCCAGTGGAGAATCTGGAAAATGGTTACATGATGATGATATTAATTATTATTATTATTATTAGTGGGTCTGGGGATCAAATTTAGGATGTTGCACTTGTGAGGCAGGTGGCGGCACCACAGAGCTAAATCCCCGGCCCTATAATATTCTTACAGAGCTGTGAAGAAAAAAAAAGTGGGCCGGGGATTTAGCTCAGTGGTGCCAGTGCCTGCCTCGCAAGCACAAGGACTGGAGTTCAATCTCTGGTACCAAAAAAAAAAAAAAAAGAGTATTTAAAAATCACAGATATCCCCAAACCAAAAACCATGAAAAATCATCAGTAAGACAGATACTTGTTTGCATTGAGAGGTGAATTTTCTGGCTTTTAAAACTAAAATGCAACAATAAATAATCAAACTTACTTTGGTTGTATACCATCAAATATTTCCTGTAATGCCAGGGCCCCATACTTGATGCAGTACAAATTAATAAAGACTAAGAAACCTGTTGAAAAAGAGAGTATCAATATAGGACGCGTCACGCTAAACTATCAATTGGCTAGAAGTCTGCCACATGAAACTTACAGATAAATATCACTAAAACCCTATAACCAACTGGCATCCAATAAAATTTAACATAATGTCCTTTACACACAATCTCAGAAGTATTTCTTTATAATTTTAATTCTACTGAAAAGGTGTTTTGATGTCAAAATTTAAACTAACCTTTGAAACAATACACACAAAACCAATTAAATATTTAGAGAACACCAACATTTTTTTTTGTTTGTTTGTTTTTTGAGACAGGGTCTCACTATGTAGTTGAGACTGACCTGGAACTCACTATATAGCCCAGGCTGGCCTCAAACTCAGCCATCCTCCTGCCTCAGCCTCCTGGGTGCTGGGATTACAGGTGTGCACCACCACGCCTGGCTCACACCAGCATTTTAAGATACTTTATATGCAAAGTTTATAATCAAAGTCTAAAGGTTTCACCTACTTTCCTTCATTTCAGTAAAATATCCGAAAGATGTACTTACTCTTGATAAACTTTGTAGTTTTGGAATTCTGAAGTCTTTGGAATAGTAGAAGGAAAATCTGCTTTCTGTACTGGTCAACTGATTCACTGAAGAATTGAATAAAAGCAACAATATAAATTCAGCATTTTTTGAGTACCTACCAAAAATCCTTGGTTAAATGTATAGGTTACTTTCACACTCACGGAGGCATGTGCTCTATTATACTGTTCAGAAGGTAAAAGCCTTGGTGGTCATTTGCTTTGGATGCAATTAGCTTCTGGAAGACACCCAGTAAACCAGGCTACAAAGAATCACATCAAATAATAAACAATTAAAAAGGAGACACGGGGGCCGGGGATTTAGCTCAGCGGTTCGGTGGCCTGCCTTGCAAGCGCAAAGACCTGAGTTCAATCCCCGGTACCAAAAAAAAAGGAGACACAGATTAGAATTTCAATATGTAAACAAGTGACACATATTTTGAGAAAGGATTCAACACTGAATAATCTGATTAGCCTGCTCTCAATTTTTCTCAAACATATCTGGGGAGTCTCCTACCACAATAAAGCTACTGCAATTCTTGACGTGAGCATATCTGGTTTTTATTTTCCACCATGGATTTAGGTGAATAGTAACTAAAGGATACCTAATTCTAATAAACCGCTCATTGCCATTTTTTTTGGTACCGGGAATCAAACTCAGGGCCTTGAGCTTGCCAGGTAGGAGCTGTGCTGCTGAGCTACATCCCTGGCACTTTAGTGCCATTTTCTACTTATTAATTCTTATTCTCTTATTTTAAATAAAGAAAACGTTAAAACCTGCCATCCGTAGTTTCTCCAAGCTACCTTAGAAAATTATAGTTAAGCTGGCATAGTGACACCCGCCAGTAATCCCAGCACTCAGGAGGTTGAGGCAGGAGGATTGGTGAGTTCAAGATCAGCATGAACTACATAGTGAATTCCAGGTCAGTCACAACTACACAGCAAGACCCTGTCTCAACGCCCCCCCCAAAAAAAGAAAATTACAGTTACTCAAAAATAAATCAAGACTCACAATTTTGTCAGCTGCAGCACTTGCTATTGTGTTTGAACCACGTTCTAAGAATGCTTGGAGAAGCCTCACTAAAGCAGGAATATTTCCTGTTCTTTCCCAAAGCACTGGCTGAAGGAGGTGAGGAAATAAGGCCATGTAAGATGACGGGATATCATTTTTGTGTGTTTCGAGAAGCAAAGACATCACTTGAAAGACATACGGAATAAATTCTGTTGAGAAAAGTAAAAGCAGCTGTCAGCTTCAGAGATTCAGGCTCTAGCACAAAAACCCCATATCCCTTAGGAAGGCTGCATTTTATAACCACCTTAACACTTTCGCTCCATTACAAAGCAACTTCCTATAAACTTACCTTGTACATCATTTTGTAAAATTTCGGTAAACACCATAAACAACGCCTCCTCAAAGTTTACAACAGCAGCGGGATTAGCTTTGCAAGTTATTCTTATGGATAAGCATATTGCTTCGAACATGTAGTGATTGAAGTGAGGTTTGCTTGGGTTCTAAAATCGGGGAAAAGTTACTGTTATTATCCAAGTGGCCATATTAAATATTATCAAAAACAAAACACCGATTTTTTTAAACATTGAAATTAGATGTCATTTCTTTTTTAAAAAGTTAGCATTAAGAACATCAACACCACACTAAACTAGCTCTTGTTTAGAATTTGAAAGTATTTTTTTATTTTGACAAATGCATTAGCTTTCTTGCTGCTGAGACAAAATTCCTGACCCAGTTTTTTTCCTGTGGTAGGAAATGAACTCAGAGTCTTGCATATGCCAGGCAGTGTAGCTCTGCCACTGAGCTACACCCGCAGCCCTATGTGGACTTATTCTTAATGGTCCAAAGTCCCCTGTGAGGAAAATAAGTCACTTCAGAGTCACAGGGGGAGGACTGTGCAAGTCGCAGCTCCCAAACCTGTGTGCTCTTGGAGAGCCGTCACCATACACAGTACTGGAAGAAATGAGAGCCAGGACACCAAGTCTGGGCACCACCAGACTTATCTTCTTTGGGCCTCAGCATCTGTTAGCTACAGACTAATGATCTTCTGAATAGGCAGTTTTCAGTTTTCTTTCTAAGCAATGAAACCCTGTGTTTCTTCAAAGAAAACTTCTCTTGGAATGACAGCATATAAAACTGATTTAACACATTCACGATGGGACTATAATTTATGTCTCACTGCCAGCAGGTCTGATTTTTTGTTTGTTTGTTTTTTGAGACAGGGTCTCACTATGTAGTTGAGACTGACCTGGAACTCACTGTGTAGCCCCAGGCTGGTCTCGAACTCAGTGATTCTCCTGCCTCAGCCTCCCGAGTGCTAGTATTACAGGCGTTGTGCCACCATGCCCGGCTTGTAATTTAATTCTTAAGTCTCGGTTCTGGGCAGCTGTGATTTAACTGTATTAGTAAAAAAGACCAATAAATATTAGATCCATCTGTACCACCAGTGGCATATGCAGCCCAATTGGACGGTCTTGTATGGGTGGGTCAGGCCGACAGGAATGTGTTGAATCAGAAGGTGGGGACTGTATACACACTGGGGGAAGCACAGGACTGTTTCCCTTCTGCCTCTATCCTGTAGGCCCAGAGTAGGTCAAGACCCTTACCCAGAACTCAGGCGAAACATAACTACTCTGTTCTTAAGTCCTTCTAATACTATGTCCTGTGTCCTGTGATTTCATATTCATAGCCAGATTAAGCATCTATAATGGCATTCTGTCAACCTTAGACTCATTTTTCATTTTTAAAATCTGGTATTAGTACATATGAATTAAAATATCTGTACAATGTTTAGTCTTCATTTGGGGAAAATAAGAGTAAAAGAGATACAAGGGCTTTGCCATTTTATGGAAATCCAAAATGGCCTCTTTTACGTCTAAGTGCAAGGCCCTACATCTAAAAAAGTTCTGGATCATTTGATTTTCTAAAATTTCCACAATGAACACGCTACTTTTGAAATGAGAACAGAAACACACTCAAGTTTCTGAGCCCACACTTAAAGATGGCTGCTGTTGTGACTTCAAACCGACAGTACCCTCGTACTTCTTAGAAAAGTCTCAATGATGGGCAAGAATACACAGACAGACCTTCTCCAACACCTCACCCAGTGCCAAGGAGTTCTGAGGCCCATTGAGAAGCAAGTTAAAAAGCAAACCCATTTTCAGAATTGGCTCTGTTACCTTACTAACTGCTAATAGCTTCTGTGTAAGCTGGGTGATGAGAGTAGGAATATAGGGGATTATGGCTTCTTGTAGGAGGGAGAAACTTCTCATGATAGCTGTAAAATACAAAAACAGTAAAAACAGTTTAAACTTTAGAATAAAACAGTAACGGATGGTGCCCACTTATCAGATAAAATTTTAAGATGCTTAATCCCAGACAGCTCTCATTTAACAATTTCCCTCCTTTTAAAATTAAGACGGGTTGGAAACAAAATTTAGCTGGGAAATTCTGAGTACTTTCAGAAGGCCCAATGCTTAAAAAAAAAGGGACAATAAAAATTACTAAAGGACAAAAGAAGCGAAGAGGAGAAGAGCACAATGGACTGGTATGGGTGAGTATCAGAGTGAGAGAAACTATGTTGGGTCATTTGTGAAGTCACTAGCTCCAGCATTAAGGAAGCACGGTACCAGCCTACAAGAAACTGAAGGAGAAAACTAGCTATGGATCTCCCTCAAGGAGATTAGAAACCTGAGACAAAATGTGAAAATACATACAAAGCCACAGGGTCCTTGCTGCAAAACACTGCTCTCATTAACAGAAGATCAAAAGCATTTGGCACGGGAAAGAAACACATCTGTGAGCTAAATGTAGGACAGTTCTTCCACAAGCATCATTCCCAGATTCGCGTCTATTAACCAAAGTACCTACTGTATGCCGGACCTAAGGGGCAGGGAGCCTTCCTCTCCTGCCTCCAGAACATACACAGGATGTTTCCTCTACCTGAGCTAAAGACTCACTCACCTTTCGACACACTGGTGGCATCTCTCCCTCTCACCTCTGCTTGGACATCAGCTCCTGGAGGAGGGCTTTCCCTGGCCTTGGTTAAGAGTCAGAGGATAGCTTAACGCCCCTCGTCAGGGACAACACAACCCTTTCACCACTCATACAACAGTATTTCTTGAGAAGGCATTACATATCCCATGCTCTTGGGAACCCAGGAAGCAATAATAAAGATCACAGACCAGTTAGTGTCCTGCTAAAAACCCATGCAAATACTATATACCTGGACACACACACACACACACACACACACACACACACCCTAAAGGGCCTGACCGGAGATGGAAGGCTCAGGGTTAGTTTGCTTTGCAAAGTATTTCCTATGATTCAGGTACTGTGCTAGGCTTCTGAGCGGCCACAGTGAAAAGACAGATTCTTCTCATCGTCCCCGAAGTCAGAGAGGGCACCAGGACACACTGACGCAGCACTTGTGTGCACTAAGGCCAAGCACGCAGTCAGCAGCTACTGCACAATCTGATCTATACACTTGGAAATTAATCCAGAAAAGGAAAAATGGAGTTTGCCATGTTTCTGTCATGAGAGGTTCTAGATCAAGCTCAGACAAAATGTTTCTGGGACAATTATTAGTAAACAATTCCTTTTCATTTAACATCTAAACCTATTTCTTAACAAACAGTATATGATTCAGGAGTATAACTCAGGAGTGTTTACCCATGTGAGGTTGAATGCTTAGTTATGATCTGTACACCAGGGAAACAGCCTACCTTTCATAATATATTCATTTTCTGAAGAGCCAGGAAGTGTGAGAGCTTTGAAAAGGTTTGTTAGCAGAATCTCAACAAACGGTGCGATTTCTGCAGCTGTAAAACTATAGATGAAAAAACAGCTTTCAGTCACTACCAACTCTTGAGACTGTCACTGTGGAACACCCTTGGCAACTACTAAATCACACTTCTCGGCATAAAATGAGCCATCTCCTAGCTGGCAGAGAGCCTTGAAAAATAACTGCTTACATGTGCTCATGTTAAGCTCCTTATACACACTTGGGACCAAATGCAATTGAACAAATCAAAAAGCCAAGTAGTCAACACCTTCTGAAACTGCAAAGGCCACCCCCGGGTCACAGGCATCACCACTGAGAACCACACACCGAAGCTCAGGGGTCTCAGCCGTCTATTTTTCCCGGGGTTGGAGGAAGCTGTTTTCTCTATCAGTTCTGGATGGAAGACAGGTACTGCCTTGACTCACTTCAAAGGCTGTCCTCACCATGGCTAAGCTCGTGTGTACCTCAGAGTTCTTGGTGAGGCAAAGAACTAAAACCTAAAACGATTTTCCATCTCTTACCCAGAGCTCAGTTTCTGCAGAATGGCCTGAAAGACATCATGGACTACCCACACCCCTACTTTTATCCTCAATAGGCCAGAACAGCCACTTTCTCGGCCCCTAGACAACTCCTCTCCCTGGGCTGTGCTGCATCTCAGAACTCAAGAGTATGAAAACAGGTACATGAGAAGAACTGTTCTACGATGCTGCTGAGAACCCTGCTACTGCACAGCATTCTCTCAGGGAAGCCTGAGATGCCCTGTAAGGTGTGACCCTTAATTAACTTGTGAACATTGTGACTATTTTAACTCAAGTTTTCCTCTTTTCCTCAGCTTCTAGGAGATTCAATAAAATTAGAGCACATTTCTGCTAATTAACAGTACTACTGTTATTTTCCTTTGCTCCAATTTACTTAACTTTACGTTAGAAGGCATTCTGGTAAGTTGCCTCAAATTCTTCTGGAATGAAAATATTAATGAATAAAAAGTACAATTAGTTTTTCTAACTACGAATGAAATTATGAAAACATTCAGAGATGTCTCTGACCAGTATACCATAGCCCCCGGCTTAAGCTGAAAATAAAGTCAAATACTTACAGGGTAGCACTGTTAGGCCCTCTCATAGTAAACAACCGTTCTAGAGCATGTGCTGCATAAGTGTGAACAACGACACTTTCAGCTTGAAGATGGTTAATCAAGAGAGGAACAGAGACCAAAAGATGCTCTTTTGGTACCTGAAAAATACAATAATAATACAAGCTGTACATTCAATGAAGCTACAGCTGAGTAAAAGAAAACTGGAAGAGAAAGGTTTGCTGATTTTAAGGCCACAGCTGTCATAATGGGAAATGATAGGGTTGAAAAATCAAAACTACTCATAAACGTTCAATTCCTATTCATTTTTTCAAATCTTTTTTTTTCTGAGCACAAAACTATGAGGGCAAAATCTATATCGTATGAGTACAACATAGAATATTAAAAAAAAAAACCATAGAATATATATCAAGGAGAAGCAGACTAATATTTCACCAATCTTAAGAATCACACTTCTGAGCTGGGAATGGTGGCGCATGCCTGTAATCCCAGCACTCGGGAGGTTGAGGCAGGAGGATCGCTGTGAGTTCGAGACCAACCTGGGCAACCTAGTGAGTTCCAGGTCAGTCTCAACTACATAGTGAGACCCTGTCTCAAAAAACCAAAAAACAAAGAACACCAATCATACGTTTGAAGATTTTCAATATTTTAAGGATGTACTTTTTGCCTGTAAGTACCTAACTGGTAAGAGTGAGAAGACACAGAAAACTACATAAAGGGGACCTACTGACCAAAATGAACAACTAGAGCATCAAAAAAAACCTCATTTGAGCCAGGGATTTATTAGCTCAGTGACACCACACCTGCCTCACAAGTGCAAGGTCCTGAATTTGATCCCTGGTACCCAAAATAAACAAACAACCCTCATCTGACATCTTGTGAGTTTGCTAAGGCACTAACATGATAAAGAGGAGAAAACCCACATTTATCCTGTGTTTCCTATATAGTCTGGTAATTATATTATCTATGTATGAGATGACAGAAGGTACAGCATAATACACTAAAAATCACAGATACATACTTTAAAATAATGCTTTTAATATAATGGAAAACTATCTCATTTTTTAAAGTGCTATTAAAAAACTGTTTATGATAGAAAAGTCTTTACCTGAAAGAACTAATAAATGTGTATGTTCTGAAAAAGCACTTATGATGCTTTCAACCCCCACCCCAAATCCAGTATAGGAAGGGACCAGAGGAACAAGGTAAAAACTATGAGAATGCAACCTTTTTTTATCCAAAAGTAGAACATGAGCAATTCTCCAATGTAAATGACTCTTAGCTCTGAAGAAAGGCACAGAAAGTGGGCAGAGGAATGAATCTCTTCTGCTGTAAATTAAAAGACTTAGGACATAATCGGCCATAAGCAATGTATGGACATTATTTGGGACCCAATTTTCATTTTATTTATTTTTTTGGTATCAGGGATTGAACTCAGGATTTTGCACTTAGGCATTAAATCCCCAGCCCTAGGACCCAATTTTTAATGGAATTTTAAAAAGACAAGACCTTAAAAAAAAAAAAAAAAAAAAAAAAAAAAAAAAAAAAACCAATTA